TAAAGGCCAATGATGTGGATACACCGAGGAGACTCCCACCACCACCCATCCAAGATGAGTCTCCTCCATTTTTCCTGTTGCCACCAAGCCGCAAGAATGAGTCAAAGATCCTGGACTTTGACTGGAAAAGAACCAAACAAAGGTGGCATCAGAAGAGAGTCAAAAAGGTTAACCTTTATGACTCTCGGATCGGTAAGTCCCGTAAAAAACGGGCTAACGTCAAGCTAGTGACATTAAAGAAGCGCTTCTTGGGAGGCAACCCAAGTAAATAAATTTTATTTTTTTTCTTTTTCCTTTTTATGCGTTTTTGTGTGTTTGTGTGTGCAGGTGGAGTTTGGAATTAGGTTTGCTGGTGAACCATTTTTGACTCAACAAAAAAAAGAGGAATGACTAACTTTTGTGCACAATTTTGTAAAAACCTTTTTTTTTAAAAAAAATTGAGATTATCTATGTCCCAAACTCTTGTTTTATCGCTTAATGACCTCGAGGGCGAGGTCAACCCTAAGTGTGGGGAGATTGGAGTTTGGTACAGAATATTTTGTGTAAAAAAAATTTTTTGAAAATATTTTTATACTCTTTGTTGCATTTTACATATTAATAGTGATCTCTGCATCGTGTACGGAATGACTGTCTAAGCTGGAATGGTACTTAAGTGGACGCAAAGGGTGACGCCTTCGGGAGCCGAACTTGTCCCACCATTCCTACTGGGTCATTTCGTAGAAAGGTTTATTCGGGTGAGCCTAAGAGCACCTAATTGGCAGCATTCTGCCCAATCCTGAATACTCTGAATCGGTCTAGTTATCACTATTGATACTTTTAAAATTCTTTTACACTTTTTACTCTTTTCATAGGTAGAATTATTTTTAATAGCCTCCTTATGCAAAATTTGCCAAAATTTTAAAATTTTTTCTTTAAATTGCACATATAGTCTTTTTATTGGCTAACTTTAATAAGTTTTGTAAATAAATAAATTTGGATACTAATGTGTTGAAAATAAAATTATTGATTTAAGTGAATAAATATTAACTTGTAAAATACGTTAAGGTCAAACATTTGTAACTTGTCATTTAAAATGATGCTGTTTCAATACCTCAACTTGAGTATGAGGTGTATATTTTTCTGAAAATTTGATATTTCAATGATTGCATTGTAAGTTTTGGAACTAAAAAAAAAAATCAAAAAACACACTTTGGTGAAACCAAGTTCTGGAGTGAATTCAAAGTCAAAAAGCATTTGGTTCTATGTCAGATGATGAGACTTATATTGAAGTGAGTGCCAAAAAGCATGCGGTTCCATGTCGTGTGATGAGGTTTTTGAGTGAATAAAAATCCAAAAAGCTCGTGGTTCTATGTCATGGGATGAGGATCAAAGTTTTTGCTTGTGTCAACATGACAAAGTGATGTTCTACAAAAAAAATTCAAACTTACTCTTTGCATAGGAATAAATGATAATTTCAGAAAAGTTTTTTTTATTTTGTTTTTCAATGTACATATTTTTGACCTTAAATTATTTTGCAGTTATTATAAAACACATACAATTTTTTTTAGACTTTAGTATCCAAGTTTGTAAATGGACAACTTTTACATTTAGCCAATAAAATTAATTTATGTGCATCTTTTAGAAAAAAAAAAAATTTTGCTAACTTTTTTTTGTAAAAAGGGTGCTATTTCTAGTGATTCTATTTTTGTAAAGAATAAAAATTGTAAAAGAATTTTGTGCAATAAACTGTTTAAAACTATGGTCGAAAGTTTTTCCAAAATCTTTTTGTAAATAAGTGTTTGATCCAAAATTTCATTTGTTGTTGTACTTTGTTGCTTGAGGGCAAGCAACGCTTAAGTGTGGGGAATTTGATAAGTCCGTTTTGTACGCACTTATTTTCTCTATATTTAATGTGTTGTGGTCCAATTTTGGATTAAACAAATCAATTTCTCAATGGTTTTTATAAGTTTTTATTCATAATTGTAAAAGTGCACAAACGTTATGTTTTGTTGTAAAAAGAATAAAAATTGAGTCAAAAGTGGTACAAAAAGGTAAAAGATTGTGCAAATGGAATACAACGAAGCAAGAAGGCAAAAGATGGCGAAAATCCATAAAGTGAAAAATGTGCATTCAAATGTGGTGATGCGCCCCGTTGAAAGATTTGAGGTCAAACGGATTGAAAAAGCACCAAAAAGAAATTGTTTGGAAAGAAAAAGTAAAAAATGTTGATTCAATTCAAAATTAATTCGTTTGACCCAAATTGGTTCAAAATTTGAAGTCGGCGCAGAAGGAAAAGTTGTTCAGAATAAAATTTTGAGCAAGACTGTATTTTTAGAAAAATGTTTTCGACCGAGTCAAAATCCGGCCAACCAGGTGCTGCCACGTGGCGCAACCTGGCTGGCCGGCCAATTGTGTAGCAGCAGTAATTATCTTCAGCCGCCATCCATCATCAAATAGAATAAAAAAGAAAAGAACAAAGAAGGAAGCTCCGTACTTGATGCAAGAAAGGAAAAAAATCTGCCAATCCACGTACCCAAATCAATCGGCAGCAGCACTAACACTCGAGGCGTGCGCCTGGACCTCAGGCCCACGCCTGTCGGAGGCCTGGACCGAAAATTTCTCCTATAAAAGGAGGCATTCGCCCCTTCATTCCAATCAAGCCTTCTTCCGGGTCTTTAAGGCCCGGAACTCCATTCTCCGCTCTTTTCTCGGTTATATTTTAATATTTTAGTTTACTTTTGTTCCGGTTGTCCTAAAGTGGCTCCGACTCTGCTCTTGGTTGTAAGTTCATTTTTACAACTTTTAATAAAATGTTCTTTTATTTTATGCACTGTTGATATCTAGTATGGGTTAGGACTCGAATTAGGGTCTTGGCTAAATTTGGGCATATACTCTGTATGTTTATTTAATAGTTGGAATAATTGTTTTAGAACTATTTTTATTGTTAAATTAATTAATTATGTCGAGAGAAAAATTAATTAATTATTGGAAATTAGTTTTTGCCTTGTCTATGAGGATATAAAATTAATTAAGCCAAACTTTTTATAACACATTAATGTTGCCTTGAGAGAGGATAAGTTAATGAAATATTTGTGACAGAAATATTATTATTCCAATTATTGATTAAATATGTGACAACAGTAGTTAACTCAGATGATGCCTTGGCCCGAAGTCTAGTCCTATACCCGTACTATTTATTTTCTTTTTCCCAAAAGCATCCAGTAGTTTATTTTATTATTATTTTCAAATCAAATCGAGAAGACTTTCAGACTTGTCCAAACCTTCGTCTAGTTAGAAAAATTAGCTAATTCCCTTCGTCCACTCCTCGAGAGACACGACACTCGGAGAAAACTAACCCTTCATTGGGAAAGTTGACTTACCGAAAAACTCAATCGTC